CAGTTGAATCAAAAATCCTCTTCCTTGTTTCATTCTTTGACTTTTTTTTCAGTCTGTGAAGAATGTCTTCTGAAAAATCTGTCGGTCTCGGGTATTTGTCCAACGAAGGGATGTAAGAAAAATGTGGACAAGGTAAGTTTCTATGAGTACTGATTTCATATCTGTCATACTATTCTATTCCATATATACTTTTGTTGATGAACCCATCCGATTCATATTGTTTCTCTACTTAGAATGGATATCGTCGTGATTCCACTTTACAAATGCTCGTCTACAAATTCATGCCTCAAATGTTTTTCGAAAACGCAGAGAAAAGTAGCAAGGGAAATTCTGATGTCAACAACAGAAAAACGCAAAGGTGAGTTAGATCTTTCGCTCGTTGGATCCTTTCATTTTTGGCTTCTTGTATTATGTTAGAACTTATTATTCTTCATCTATCATGGTTGTGATGTGCTGTTGGATGACGCACATTGTCTTGGGTATTTCTGTGTCTCAGATTTTCTATGAAGTATATGGCTACTTTCAGAGTTCGACGACCGTCCGTCCGTCCGTCCGTCCGTCCGTANGTTCAGCGCGTGCTGCGACGGCGGTCGCTAGAGTAGTGTTGACAGCGCTGGCAAGTGATCCAGTGTGTCGACAACGGTCAGGCGCCGCCGTCGCAGCACGCGTCGAACGGACGGACGGACGGACGGACGGATGAATCGTTGAGGTCTGAAAGCAGCCTATGACACATCTTAGGAAATCTCATCGTCTTTTACTTTTTTCCTCTTAACCGTCTTTTGTACTTATGATGCTGGTACATTCACTGAACCTCAACTAATTACGAAGATGAATGTTTGCGAGCCATTCTTCAGTGGATGATTAAAGAGGTTATTCCTCTTATACCCCGTAGCCTTGAAAGCTTTTACGATTAGCCCTTGTCTAATCTTGTATTAGTTTCACATGAAAGCTATTCTCTCTTTTGCTGCGCAAATTTGTGAATAGAAGCTTCGAGTAATTGTCTTACAAAATGGCTTGGGTTTACTTAATCATTAATTTACCCGAGCTACGTGTTACCGCATCACGCCATTTGGCTGGAACTTTTGCAAAAGGTAGTTAGTAAATTGGTTTCTTTTCACATTATGGTCAGACCACAACGATTTCAAACAAATTTTATTATGGTCAATCGTTTTTCTACAAAAATAATACTTCTTTTCTCATCATTCAGAGAATTGGCTCAAGCAAGCAGTGAAATATGTGATCCTGAAGAGCTGTTGTCTATTTGTTTGGAATTTGTACCGGCACCGGTTGTGGCAAAACCGGACGAGGTTTGTGTCGCTGAACCTCATATCATCAAAACTTCTTTAAGTTGTTTAGAATCGTATTCAAATTTATTTCTTCAGGAAGCTATCTCTACTAATCCGTCCACTTCATCATCGTCCAAAGCCGAGCCTCCACTGAAGAAAATGAAAAAGGTG